GGAGTGGAATGTGGTCATGGAAGCATTCCTGACTCCCGAGAGGGAGGCGGATCTCCGAGGAGCCCTCGTGGATCTCTGAAGTCGTGATGACGCATAGCAAGCGCTAACCGCCGGGTCAGCGCGTAGTCATTGGAATAATCTACGCTCCTCAGGCTCTGTTCCTTCTTGCTAGTAGGTTAGGATTTTCTTCCAGGTGAATCGTTGTCAATAATATGTTCAAGGCGAAGGCCGGAAACTACTTCTCCTCGCTACTTCTCGGAAACTACTACGCTGTTCCAGGAACGCGACTTCTTTGGATAAGGGGAGCGAGGCACTGACAGTGAGAGGCATCTCAAGACTTCCTCGTCGAGGTTCAGTCGAGTATATCAAGTAAGCTAGAAGAGTTGAGGCGGACGGGGACTTGTCCTCTTCATGTCGAAAATACGCGGTAGCCTTCCGACCCCGGGTACGTTTCAGCTCCGCCTCTCAACCCCGATGGGCGTCAGAATCAGCCAATTATTCCAAGAATTCCTTCTCCATCGCCTGACGTTGTGAGTTAAGAGTTGTATATTGTTACCTGGGACAGCCCGCTTCCACGACCAGCCAGGTACGATGATGACTTCCTGCATGGAATGCTTCATAGCTTATCCGAGCTTATGCCCCGACTACTTTGATTGAAAACACCTCGATATGGGGAGCGTCAGAACTGTGAGATGGAAGTTTTCTATCTGATTCTGCGGCAGTGATGAAGTGAGCGCACACAGGCGCAGAATCAACCTGTGATGGCGGAAATCACCGACGGAGATAGGAATTAGAGAGAATGTTGAGTCGATTGCCGAATCGCAAAGGAAGTTCGATCCGCTCCGAGAGGATGACATCAATGAGTAATCCGAATCCGGAAGCGCAGAAATGTGTAGTAGAATACTGGCCGTAGCCTTAGATCACGGTGACCGGCTGTGCTTTCCTCAGAACATCTGTACGGATTCCGGTGGGAGCCAAAGCGATTTCGCAGCTGTATTCAGGAGATATAGTATTTATGACATTCGTTACAGCGAGAGCTGACGTGTAACCTGGGCGGCCTCCATCCTGCGATTAGGACTCTCATAATTCCCTCGGAAATCAGGACGACGAAGCCGTTCCCGATTTGTTTAATTCACACAAGTGGCTTCCTCGCCTGACTCTCTACATTGTTTCGAGCTCCGTTTCGCACATCTTGAATAGAACGAGTACAGACGCAGCAGACAAGGCATTCATCAACTGTGTCGGTCGAGAGCTGATATTTCCGGGAGCACGACTGGTTGTTGTTCGTTTAGTTCATGGAACGGGTAGACGGAGCTCAGAGAACTCCCCGACGAACCCGGAACTCTTATCGGGAATGAGCGGCAGTATCCAGGAGTCCGAAGGAGAGCGCGTCACCATTAATTCCCTCCATCCACCCCGACCATCCGGTTTCCCCCCCCACTCCCGCTGCTGCGTCTCGATTCTCGATCCTACGAAGTTTTGTCACAGGATTACTGCACGTCAGCCACGGTGACGACTGTTTAGAGGCACTACCGACCTCTCATAGACGCGATATGGTTCTGAATAAAAGCTCCGTCTGAACCTGCTGGCCGCACCCTTTGTAGAATGGAAGTGAAGCGGCTGCGACGCTTACGTTCAGAACAGAGGCACATGTGGCCTCATTGAGCCAGAGCGTCTTGCGTGAGGGCGGTGACTGTGTCGCGGCAAATGCTGCTCCTGCCCTATACATACAAGTTGTTCTATGTCGACGACGGCATCGTCAACAACAACAACAATGACGACGATGATTACTGTGTTCCTGTGGTATGAGTGCAGTCTGCGCCAGCAGGAGAATCGAGTAGCCGGCCGGCATCACTCCGGGAAGGGTGATTGGCAGCAGAAAACGCATGAAGCATCATCCTCCTTTCTATTCGCACACGCTGCACAGCCGTAGATGGGTAGCACAGGTGGCATACATCCTCTTCTGGTCGCCGACATAAACCACTGGGCGAGCATTCTCGACGCGAGCCATCTCGCCAACAGATCGCGCGCGGAACCCGACAGATGTGCACGGTAAGCTTTTGCTCAGTCTTGGAAGTGAATGATCTTGAATTCGGACTTCTCGCTCGAGGCGGAGCCTTGTGACGGTCAGATGACGCGGCTCCACGGTGGGTACTTTGACATCGCTCGGACTAGATGCGCGGAGTGATCCTTGGTTCCCAGCCTTCAAAAATCGGCTCTCGAGAGGCCCCTTGGCAAAGAACCGAGTCAATACCATCCAAGAGCGCAATCCATCAAGGAGGAGGACTTCTGTACCCCGGGAGGGAAAACAGATGTGAAGAACGGTCGCCTCGTCACCCCACCGTAATTGCTCACTACGTGTTGAGGGGCTAGCTACGTTCGATGGAACCGAATATTCCCCGGAGGATATATGTACATCCTGAGTCCTGATGATGTCCTCGACACAATTTTTCCTCTCCCCACATTTTGACGACTTCCCGCCGGATATCGGATTCGGTACTTTATCTGCGCTCGGCGGCAATTTATGGGGAGATAAGGAGATCGACGAGTGACAGCCGTCGCGATCAAAAATAGCGGAATGATCTTTTACTCTAAATTAGGTCATCTTCCGACAAAACTCACGTGGTTGTTCATTATCATTCGACGACAGAAGCCACCTTGGCTCACCTCCCCTTTAATGAGATCCTCCGCAGCATGGCATGCTAGGCAAGGCAGATCCGGAAGGGTCCGCCGCTGTATACTCATGGTGATCGGAATGTCTATCGAGAACCATTGAGTGACACGTGTTTTCGGACGTATCGATAAGTCCGCTCTCAGCCCATGCCTCCCCGGTGGAGTTCGAAAGTTATCGACGGCTCACGCTCCATCAGAGTAGAGTCAACAAGCTTTCCACCGAGTGCTTGATGCAGTTAGTCATGAGAGTAGTCGTCCCGCCGGTGCTACGGCTCTCCCGCTGAGAAGCCAGATCGGAACACCATGGTCGAGCAGACTCCGCGATCTGGAGCTGGCGTATCTGAAGCTTCCAAATGCAATGTACACCAGACATTTCGACTCATGTAGATGGTCATCATTCGACTTTTCCCGCCGCCCAAGGTTCGATGACGCGTCTGTGGAAGGACAGTGAGTCTCAGTGTATCCGTAGTTTCTCTCCCTCGCAAGGAAGGATTAGTATCCTTCACCTCCCGTGCTAGCAGCGAATGAACCTTGGATGAGGGGAGGATATGGCCCAGGAGCGCTCAACCGATTCAATCATAAGATCTGAGCATAGATGGGAGCGCGTTTACGCGATCGCTCATTTCGTAGCATCAGATTACGAGCGGCTCGTGGAGCCGAGAGTTCCACCGGTGTTCGGTCTAGAAATACTCAAGGAGAGTCGGAAAGAGAACTCGATCGTTGGTGCGAATGAAAACAAATACTTTAGACCGTACACGACGGAAATGCAGATAGATAGACAGACAGAACTACAGCCAAATAGATGGACTCTCTCACGTTGCCCGGTTGGATAACGACACCCGAGATGGTGGAGACAGCGGCTTCGGCGGCGGCGACGGCAGCAGCAGCGTTTACGGCGGCTCGGAATGTTCCGGCTTCGCCTCGGCGAAGAACGCTCCAGTAGAAATTCGAGCTCCAATCGAATCTAAATATCGAACAGAGACCGACTGTCGGTTGTCTCAGTCAGCTTTAAACGTTGGCCTGAAAAATTCACTCCGCTCGATGCTTCCCCTCTCTCCTCTGACGCCGACGCGCGGACTCAATGATATTCTTGTTATAGTGGGAATGATTCTCTGTTTGTGAATTTCTCCGCTCGAATCGCGGCTAATGAGTTGTTCTCCTCTGTCGATTTGGATTGAAGCGAGGAATTTCGTTCTTTCGCTGTGACCCACCTGAGGAGAGGATGAGCAGTCTCCTGACTTAGATTCCAGATTCACCGCGTGATTTGGCGCTCTCATCGAATCTCAGTAAGGTCTGCGGAGAGGTATGGGATTCCCTTCACGGAGATCCAGTTTTCTGAGTTGGTGAGTCATCGGCCGTTGAGATATGTGGGACGACCCTTATCTTCGTGGATGAGCGGACTTGAGATTACAATCTCGGCTCGATCTGAATATCATCCATTGGCTCCTTATTATCTCAATCACATCATATGCGATATTATTTTCATTCGATTCGGGAAACCGGGAAGTACGATGAAGCGCCCAGATTTCTGAAGAAATTCTAGAATCGATTCAATCAGTGAATTAGAGTGGTACCACGGCCGGGTTGGGTGGCGGTGCTCCGAGGGTAGGGCGCGGGGTATCGCGTGGGCGCTCACAGAGACGCTTGCTGGATCACAGACGACTGCTGGGGAACACGTTTTTCTGCTGACTTAGCATCTCCACGAGATATTGATCGCAGGAAGACTTGTTTTCTTCGGTCAGGATTGGTGGCTACATTGTATCCTTGAGGAGGACCAAGTAGGTACATGGGTAGATCCATGTTTTTGTGAGTGCCCGCCGCCACCGTCACGGAATTGGATTTCAAATCGACAGGATTGTCTCCTGGCTATCTCGTGTCATTGTGCTCCCTTAGAGCGTGTCACATGAAGAATATATTTCGAAGCGCTTCTGCTCTCATTGGATCAATAATGGTAATCCCCAGGTAGGATCCGATTCCACGCTTAATCATGTGACTTTCCGAATAGCCACTCTGTCCAATCATACGGGAGTCGGGGCCACCTGGACGGAAACCTAACGTCAGATATTCAGTCGCTACCGGCACTGGTTTACGTTTCGATCGAAGAAAATCTTTCTTCCGTTTTGCTCGGCTTCCATGGAAACGGGAGGGGGCTCTAGGAAAACTCGACGTATGCTCCGTGGGCGGTGATGAATGGTCCGGAGTGCGACCTCATCTATCTGGTCGTTCCGCGCCCTGGCGCAAATTACCCGCCGACGAGTGTGTTTCTCACGGAACCGATAATTGCGACATCTGACGATCCACCCATTCCAGTCATGAGCGCGGACAGCATGCCGATCCTGCCGGAAACGGATCCCGTGTCCAACCGGTGGGCCGACCAGGACAACAGCAGCAACGGCAAGTGCCAACAAGAAATGAGCTCTGACGTTGTTTTCGATACGATCCGCATCAGCAAGTGTATGCTCGAGGAATCGGGCGAAAATGGACGCGGTGAAAAACCCGCTCTGAAGATGAAAATTGTGCTCACCGAAAAGAAAGACAAAAATGAAGCATCTTCAGATTCTAAACGAGATGATGATGACGACACAGACATCATTGGAGACGAGTCAGACTCTTCGTCAGAACTCACGATAGTTGATGAAACGAAGACCGAGAAGGCACTAGAAGCGGACGAGGAACAAGCGAGCAGGAAGAGATGCCCCAGAGAGTTTCGTAGGAAGCGCAAGTTGAAGGACATTCACGAAGTCAAAAGTTACGCCATGAAAAAACGTCGGGAGGACAGAGAAGCGGAGAAACGACGTGCGGAGGAAATTTTCAAGAGTCAGGAGAACGAAGCGATGGCAAAACGGATCGCCATGGAATTCAGCAACTTCAGAAGATTCAGAGTGCCGGCATCCGGAGAATCCCCGAAAGTGGAAAACCATCCCCCCGCTGAGATGAGAACACCGAAACCCGACCGACCCCTGGGACCGAATACGCTCGAATCCTCGGTTTCCTCTCAGAACGACTTGCTCGGTAGCCTGGAGAAATTTCCATCGCCCAATAGGTCTCCGGGAGCTTCTTCAATCATCAATCAGAATAATGAGCCTCCACAGACGGTTCCTCGGATCGCGGCATCGCTGAATTCAGCATCGAAGTGCGATTCGAAGGTTCCACAGGACCCGAAAGCGGGACTCCGAGAAAACTCCTCCACGTCTGCGTCAGCTCAAGGCAAGCATCATATGCCGATCGGAATCCCGCCCGCGCCCTCGATGATGCAATCGAATCTGAGCTCAGTCAACCCTAATCCCGGCGGCGTGCCGAGACGCGAAAGTCCGTGCTCAAGCCCTAGTAGCAGTCCGCACGCTCCTCCGGTTCAACAGACGAGCGACCAACTGGTTTCGAGAAGCACCAAGACCGACCCGATAGACTCCCCCGGACCCCCTCCGAACGTCTCGGGCGGCGTATCTGATCGTTCCAGATCGCCACCTCCAACCATCCACATCCCGGGCCCGTTGTGCTCCACAGAAGACTTTCCAGGAGAATTACGTGAAGTACCTACCGACTCCAAGGTCGCGCAGAGCGTCGATGAACTTGTTGTACACGTCAGCAGCAACTTCTCCGAGCCCGTAGGAACTTCTGCGAGAAAAGAGTCTCCTTGCATGTTTGGAAGCCCAAGCCCAGTTTCTAGCGGAGCATCCGCCGTCTCAAACTTTCAATCTGATGCCGCCAGACTTCCGAGCCCGATTCCGGCGAATCTGAGCGTGCGAGTGCAGAATAATGTTCGGCATTCGGGTCCGGAAGTCAAAAACCATATAGGCTCCTGCGCAGACGCGATGCGCGGCTCGGAACAGCCACCCAGATTTACGCCAACGCTCGCGATCGATGTCGATAGGACCGCAGGTCGGGTGTACGATCCCAAGTTCAGCGCATTCAGTGTCGATAATCTAACGAGGAACGACGCGCGAGTCCGAGAGCGGCGGGCATCCAACAGCGACCCCGATAGGGAGTGCCTGCGGAAGAACCAGGGCCAGTTTGAGCTGAGAATGCCGTCAGTTCGAGCACAGGTGGGTCAAGAGTTCTTTAATTACAGCTTATATGATGGAGGATGGGTGAATGGGTGAATGGGTGAATGGGTGAATGGGTGAATGGGTGAATGGGTGAATGGGTGAATGGGTGAATCTCAACCCTAACTCATCCCAATTCCCCACGTCCCTTCAAAATTCAAACAATCCATCCGGAACTGTGAGCGAAGTCGCCAACGTTCTCAAAAGATGATTAGAAGTTCATAATTGATCGCGCGCCGTGAAGTATGAATGGTGTACATAGAATACTATTCGAAGAATATTCGGATAGCGACTCTGCACTCATATTTTCCTTTCTTTTCTCCTCAGGAGAAGCTCAAGGCGACGAGGGGCGATAGGGATTTCGGTGCATCTAGCGACAAAATACGCGTGGTCCGCCAATGTGAATTCGAATTCGCCAGACCCCAAGCCGCACCTCGGAAATCCCGTCCAAGGGCCCCGTCCCCTCCTCCACTCTCGAGCTCAAATTCGTCACCGGTATGGTGTGCCACAGGGGCGTCCGGCAGCGCTCCGAATCCGGAGTCCAAAAGCGCTCTGATTTGGCGCTATATACAAGACCAGAGTGGGGGCAACGCCATGCAGACCATCGATAGCGCGCTCGAGTCCGTCCGTGCCAGTAGCCAGAGTCTCGTCAGACCGGAGGAGGGCAAGAACATTCTTGCCAATTGTGAGTTCTTACCTCCGACGTTGTGGACGCTCAAAATTGAAGTGCGCGGAACCTCGATCTGTCTCGTGATCATCTCTAACGATAATTTCCTCCGCAGACCTACAATGCCAGCGCAAAGAGGATTTTTCCGACGACGTCGCCAGAGGTAGGCGACGCGCAATTCAAACCATCGACTCCCGATCGAAACAAAGCTTCCGAGTGCATTCAAGAACGTTCTTAGACTCGTTGATGCCACGGATAGAATCTCTTCCAGAGCAGTCATCTTCTCCGGATCCTATGCTCCGCTCACGCGATCCGCGGTTTCTGTACCTTTCGAAATTGAAGAAGATGCTCGTCACGCTCCAGAAGTTCTCGACCACGATCTCGATGGACGTTGGGAAAAACGTCTACCACAATATCTACGCGCTAGCTGTGAGTACTTCCCGACGTCCGCGGGGGGGATTCACTCGATCTAGCCGAAGTCAGCTCCCGGAGACCGTTTCTCCCTTTCCGTTCCAGAGTGGTGCGATCGCGATCGAGGAGTTCATCACCAAGACGCAGCGCGCAACTAAACTCGCCCTGAAACCGTACGTTGGACCTTTCCTGGCCTCGTATTTGCCGCTTCTCCAAGAAGAGATCACCGTGAAAGCCGCCACGGTCAGAATGAGCTCAAGCCGGTGAGTTCTCCTAAAAATGATCGCAGCAGATATCTTTCTCTTCGCACTTCTCGCTGAATGATCCGAGTTTGACCGAATTCTGCGCGGCAGGTATATGCGTTCGAATCCCGAGTGCCTCATCGATCCGAGGGTAGAGCCAGGGGATCCGCACGAGGTGTTCGTTTCCGAATTCGATGTTCCGAACAAGAAGAAGAATGCCCAGCCACCACCTGGACACAATCCGTGAGTCCCTGGGACAAGTCCCCGCTCCTACAGGGGGAACTATTCGATACAACTTCTGCTTTCCCGATCGGATTGGAAACTTGAGAGGGAGGATTTCTGTTCTCCACAGTGTGGAGTCTCAAGTCCCTGCACAGAGCCCAACCGGAGATCATCTCACGAATGCCTCTGTGGCCCACGAGATGCATGACTTAGATTTGCGCTATCAAACTCATCTAGCCATTCAAAACGATCTGATGACGATCCAAGAAGTGAGTAGAGGATCTCGAGCGATCCAGCTTATCGGCGTGAAACTGAATAATCATTTCGGATTCGGGATCTGCATTTTCCATCAGCTCAGCTGAGGTTCTGTCGATCCCCAGATGTTGGATCGCATCTCGAAAATGGTGGAAAACACTAAGAAAGCGCTCAGCTCTCTTCAAGATGAGTCTTCGCTCCCCGCTAACGCAGAGACGTCCGCGAGGTCCTCGCCTTCCCGTTCTCCTGTGGTCCAGCCAACACCTCCAACTCCTCACCTTGCATCGGCGTTGTCTGCCGGAAACAGCACGTCGAAGGAGTTGGCACACTTGGATCACTCGACTGCAACACCAAATCGCTTCAGCACTAATGCTCGAAATTTCACGCTTCGTAATTCGCAACCGAGAGACGTTGCGTACCGGCTAGGCGTCACGTCGTCTCGTCCAACCCCGAATGAGTTCCCTCAGACGGACGTTGGTATCGATTGCCAAGCGCAAAAAGACACGAACTCGAGGCTGGAGATGCGGAATCCACAGCTGATGATGTCTACGGCGACCTCGTCCACCTTCGCGTCTAGATCAAGTTCCGTTGACAGCCCGAGCACCATGCAGAAGGACACCATGCCGCTCCTGAATTCATCTCTACCGTCGAGATTGACTGTGGGTGGCTACGCAGCCACGGAGCCATCGGAGCGGCGCTCGGATGCGACGCAGAAAGAGCTCCTTGTGCCAACTGATCGAGAGATTGTCCCAATGCATTCGAATTTCCCGATGCCGAACTTCACATCGTCGACGCAAGCGCCTGAGAGAAAATTCCCCGACAGCTCAGGAGCGAAATCCTCGACACCGATATCGAGAATTCCAATGAACCCCAGCGTATCCCAGAGGCTGATGTCTCAGGCGGGCAATGTCGGCGACCCTGAGGTGAGTTCTCGGATGCGTAGCTGATCCTACTTGTTATGGAGGATTCCCCGATCCGAGTTCATTATATAGATTCGCGAGTAAGCAATTGTTATTTTCTCTCGACTTCCCGACTCAGTGCTGCTGGAATTGTGGTCGGACCGCTCAAGAGACCTGCAGTGGCTGCAAGCTCGCGAAATACTGTGGCTTGTTCTGCCAGCGGAGAGATTGGGAAATCCACCACCGAGTTTGCCGAATGATCGGCTCGGGTTCGCCGTCTCGGCAATCTCCCGCGCCGACCTGAGGACTGAAGGAGGAAAATCATCGAACACACTCAACAAGCTACCCCGTCGAGCCAGGAGGCCTGATCCCTAGTATCCCAAACATTTAGGTATTCCCTCAAACGTGTCCTCTGTTCGTCAAAGGCGACCGCGATTTGCTTGACGGGGCATATCATTCCGACCTGGAAGCCCCTCCGGATGCTGGGGTAGATCTCCTCCTTGGCCCTCGCAAGTCATCGGTCGGGATGATTGTAAATAATTCAGTGTACCTCCCTCAACGTGTTCACGAAGTGCCGATGTATTTGAGCGGAATGAACAATTACCTGTACTGAAGTCTGTCAAGGAATGATATCCTATTTGAGCCAGGAGGAATATGGTCGTGGATAAGGGCTCTGTTTTGGGAAGGCATGTATACTGTTTAAGTTGACGTGTTGTTCACACTTCGATCCCGGGACGAGGTCCGGAATGGGTCCAGTCGAATCCAATGCTCAAGCCTCGATGCGATCGAGATGAGAACGCTCGCGGAAGAATTCATCAATCGAATAAAAGTCGACATATATCTCACTCTGACAAAAAAAAATCCATTGTTTGCCGCAATCTGTGCTACCTCTCCCCTTCGCGTGTTGTGTAAGGAGGGTATCATTCTGAAAATTGAGGGTTGGATGCTGGATTTGGTTTTCGAGTGAGAACAGTCACCCTCGCATCTGATCGCGCTATCTCCCTGTACTTCTCCTCGGAGCTTAGCTCCAATTCATTCCGCGACTCGCTGACGAAAATATCAAAATTCAGATATCTCTCGCGAAGCCGACCGAATGAAGATGTCATTGTGCAGCGTATGCCGCCGTCGCGAGGCTGTCTCCAGATCGAGCGGATTTTCATCGAGCAAGGTAATCCTTAATTAATATAACGACTCAGTTCGCCGACAATGTATTTTGTTATTCAGTGCCCCGGTCAGCCATCTATTGTATTCGGAACGGAGGCATTGTGGTTGAATTTTCAGAAATGAGATGCAGCGTCGATAAGGATACGCGTACGCATGGTCAGCACACTCACGATAGACAATGAGAAGTACGATAAGCGAAGATCCCAAACTTGTTTAGGAACTGAAGAGGAACTGAGCCTACCCATCACAGAGCGCTGTCGCGCTGGGCTTGAAATCGCTCCTCCCTTCCCCTCATCGTTCAGAATCCGGAACTCGACAATAGAAAGGAGCTCGAGACCTCGGTAGCGGAGGAAGAGTGAACTTTGCTACGCGAGGGCTTATTGAGGCTTTTCTCGCGATAGAGACAGAAGCTCGAACCGTAGCGGGGGGCGGCGGTCTACGGAAGAAGCTCGCCTGAGGCTCCAGGAGTCCTCGTCCACGAGAAACCCCCGAGAAATAGCTGAGTGCTTGATCAGTCCGGGACCATCCGAATGCCTTCTCCCGTCGCTATAGTTGACGTTCCCTTTTCCCCTAAACATAAAATTAGGATGGAAGCTCCACCACCAGCTGCGACTCTGAGCAGATGGTCCGAAAACAAACACGACAGCCGTCATTTTGACGAAGCCGTAAGAAGTGCGCATTGGTGTAGCTGACGCATCAAATAGCAGATCGGAGCTCCATTCGCTTCCATGCTGCTTTTCTTCGACATGGACACCATATTATGACCTGGTGGTGTCGAAGATTCAGACCGAACGTCCATTGGCGAGAACCAGATCCGTTATCGCTTTCCCTGGTCAGGCTCCGTTCTTCGATCGAGCTGAGCGACGCTGACTGTCGCTCGCCGAGCAAACGGGGCTGCTGCAGACATTTCGTGAGCCTCCTCGGGAGGCGAGCCCGCTCCGCCAATAAGCAGTCAGTAAAGTGGAGACTATCTTTGATTTTCGGAGCCATAATTCCTCCGTTGATCTTCTCTCCGATAGAATTTAATCTTTATGCTCCTATGCCACAGGAGATCTATCACGTCGGGGACAGTCGAATTATTAGAATGGCGGCTCTGAGGATATAGATTGAGGGATAACGACTTTGGGAGAATAATCTTTCAATTCAGAAAATTATGTTGGTCGTTCGTTCTCATTCATGGCACGAATCCCATAAGAGGGGAGTCTCCAGAGCAGCTCAGTCGCGGAGGAGCTCATGAATGGAATTGAGATTGGAACATCGAAATTCTGAAACATGGCGAAGGCTGGCGAATCGAGAGGTTTTCGAACGAAACGTGCCAGACGCTTCTGCGTGAAGCAGTCTTCTTCTGGCTGCTCTTCTATAGATATGCTAATGCATTGGAGCGACGTTAGCAGCGAGTGCCCGGTCCGGATCTTCAATTGGTTGTGTTGGATAGCGATGTAAATCGTCGCTCGAGCGAATCGCGTCCGTCTATAAATCGATGCCGTGTTCAATCGCATCAAAAACGATCCTGGCTCCTCGGATACATGAATAAAATCAACAGCTCCGGCGCGAATCCCTGGCTGAACGATCTACGAACCGAGAATGGTCAAACCCGATCGAGGGTTATTCGGAGGCATTTTCGAGATTCTCCTCCGTGGTATTCCTCCGTGAGCGCACAAAATCTCACGGAGAGCTCGTCTGCGACTATTGAGGCCATAGAACGAGGATCTCGGTCTCGAGCATCTCTTCCTCGGCAACTCGAGGGAGGATCGACGGCATGGCATCGCAAAAGCCGGGGAACGCAGACATTTCTAGAATAACGAGGACGCAGACGACGTTGTCGTAGTAGTAAACATGTCGCTGATTCCATTCCCCAGCGGAACCCCACGATGCTCCGACCGTGCGGTCGCTATCGCTTCTCGTCCCCGGTCGCATCCCATCGCGACGACTTGACTCTCGGTTATCGTAGCGACCCATCAGAGGCCCCTCGTTATGCCAGCTGCCGCCCCGATACCGCACATAATCAATGTTGTTGAGGATCTTCTGCCGCTGCACTTTCTGCAGCTACTTCCCCACGGGCAGGGGAAGATGTGGCCGCCAACGACAAAGGACGAAATCAAGAAGAAGAAGAAGAGGAGGAGGGGATCTTCCCCAACCTACGTGTGGTGAGTGTGAGAGGAGATTAAGAACCATAAATCGTGTACTTTTACGGCCACATAAAAGTTTTCCGCTCGCTGCTGGCGCTTCTGTAGCAAGTCTCTGAAGTGCTTCTCGCTATTCGGTTGCTGCCGCCGCCGTGGTCGCTGCATGAGAGGCACTCCGATCGAGCAACCGACCAACGAAATGGTGCGGCCTGGAGAGAGCCGAGGAAGCGGCCACTCAGCCAGTCGGCTAGCCGACCAACCAACAACAAGCTCACAGACCGTCAGCACGAGAGTGAACGGGAGAAGGCGAAAGAAGCCAGCCGTTGCCGCCGGCCGTTCATCCATAATCACGGTTTTCTTCACGATAATGGATCGACGGCCAAGTGCAAGTGTGGTGGGCTGCCACCGCTAACTGGCTGCTGTATAGCTCAGCATTCGCTTCCGAGCAGTTTATTCGTACGCCTGAGCGAAAGCCAAGAGCAAACAGTGGAGCGACACGTTAGTGACGCGCAATCTCAGGTGGATTAAAGATGGGAAGCCCGGGATCTCAGGCCTAATCAACACAATTAACGAGTCAAGGGAAGGCCAGAGAAGCTCGGGTCGCGATGCTTAATCCACAGGGGAAGGCAGTAAATTTAATTTTCAGAAATATGGAAAGGAAGGGAAGTCAGACTAATCAGTTCATCATAATGATGAGAGAGTCCCTCAGACGCTGGAACTGACTACGCGAACGAAGTTTCGTGTCGCGATGTAGTGGAGGAGTGATTAATTTCGGCACACGTCGAGCCTCCGAGATCAGGCCGAAATTTTCAGACCCGACAAACCTTCCGAAGACTCCCATCTGTCCCAGGCAGGCCTCCACGTGGTGAAGACTGTCGAGCGATGATAACTGATCACCTGAAGGCCACTCCTCGAAGCCACTGGAATTTTGAGGCTCTTCCTCAATCAGCGATTCCCAGCGTGTATGCTCCTCGCGCCGCGAGGAGAAGCGTCATTTTTCATCATTGAGCATCCGCAACGGCAGAGCGGGACAGCGAAACTCAATGTTTTTCCCGTTCGGATGGATTTGGATGCCCCCATCGGATGGTCTACTGGGATGTAAGATTCATCAAGAGACTTGGGGGTGCCAATAATCTGCCAATGCATTGACTCGGACACGGACACGGTCAACTCGATGCCGGACAGCTAAGCAGAGCCGCATTCGAGCGACTGCATACTAGCAACCCGAATGGAGCTCGTCCATCGCTCTTATTGGACTTTCGACTCGAGACGCGACCCGCGACAAAAGTTGCAAACTGACCCATAAACACTTTCGCCCTGACCGACCCAAGGAAGTTTCTCGCGCACAAATGAGTACACGGGGGCGGCTCACAAGAGACTGCAAACCGAATTCAGAGTCGATCATCCGACTGTTCGGAAGCTGGTCGATGGTCTCCGGAAAGTACAGCATCACAGAGATCTGCGATACGCCCGCCTCGTCAGCGGTCACTCTCCGGAGATTAAACGCAGGAACGAAATGGACGCCGATGTAAGCTTGCGGTGAATGGTCTATGGTTTCCACAGTCGCACCTCAGTCGAATTCCCACAGGGTGTTGCTTAAAACTATGAAATGAATGCATGATCCGGTGTACCCACGAATTCGCCGGGTACCACAGCGTGATTCTGTGAATCAACCCATAAGGGATACCGTTCGACCTCGTTCGTGACAACCTACGACTTCCGGCGATCTTTCCT